CTGATGCTGATGATGCTGATGCTGATGTTGATGCTGATGATGCTGATAAAGCTGCTGATTCTGATACTGTTGAAGCTCTAGCTGCTGATGATGCTGATGGTGCTGATGACACTGATGATGCTGATGATGCTATTGCTGATGCTGCTGAAGCTGATGCTGATGCTGATGCTGATGCTGATTTGGATACAGCTGGTGCCGATGCTGATGTTGATGCTGCTTATGATAATTCTAATGGTGCTTTTGACGCTGAGGATGATGCCGTTGACGCTGGTGAAGCTGATGCTTACGCTTACAATGATGATGACGACGCCGATGATGCTGATGATGCTGATGATGTTGATGCCAATGCTGCTGATGCAGAGTGTGCTGATGCTGCTGATGCTGATGCTAATGCTGCTGTTGCTGATGCTAACAATGCTGATGATGATGCTGATGATGTTGATGCTGATGCTGATGCTGGTGCTGATGTTGCTGATGATGCTGAGGTTGATGATACTGATGATGTTGATAATTTTAATGCTGATGATGCTGATACTGCTGTTGATGCTGATGATGCTAATGATTCTGATGATGCTGTTACTAATGTTGCAGATGCTTATGATGCTGATGCTGATGCTGATGAAGCTGATGCTGATGCTGATGCTGATGCTGCTCATTTTACTGCCGATGATGCTGATGATGCTGATGATGCTGATGATGCTGATGATGCTGATGATTCTGATGATGCTGTTGCTGATGCTGCTTTAGCGGATGCTGATTCTGCTTATTTGATGCTGATGCTGACGCTGATGCTGATGCTGATGCTGATGCTGACGCTGGTGCTGATGTTGCTGATGATGCTGAAGTTGATGATGCTGATGATGCTGATGATTCTAATGCTGATGATGCTGATAATGCTGTTAATGCTGATGATGCTAATGATTCTGATGATGCTGTTGCTGATGCTGCTTTAGCGGATACTGATTCTTCTTATTCCATGCTGATGCTGACGCTGATGCTGACGCTGATGCTGATGCTGATGCTGATGCTGATCCTGACGCTGATGCTGACGCTGATGCTGATGCTGATGCTGATGATGCTGATACTGACGCTGATAATGCTGATAATGCTGCTGATTCTGATACTGTTGAATCTCATGCAGCTGATGATGCTGATGATGCTTCTGAAGCTGATGCTGATGCTGATGCTGATGCTGATGCGGGTGGAGCTGATGCCCATGCTGATGTTGATGCTCATTATAATAATTCTAATGGTGCTTGTGACGCTGACGATGATGCTGAAGATGCTGATTCTCATGATGCTGATGCTGATGCTGATGCTGCTCATACTGATGCTAATTATACTGATGTTGATGTTGCTAAAGCTGATGCTGATGCTGATGCTGATAACGCCGATGATGATATTGCTTTTGCTGTTGATGCTGATGATTTTGATGCCGATGCTACTGATGGGGATGGTGCTGATGCTGATGCTGCTGATGCTCATGCTGACAATGCTGATGATGATGCTGATGATGTTGATGCTCATGCTGATGCTCATGCTGATGCTGATGCTGATGTTGCTGATGATGCTGAGGCTGATGATGCTGAGGATTCTGATGCTGATGATGCTGATAATGCTGTTGATGCTGATGATGCTAATGATTCTGAAAATGCTGTTGCTAATGTTACTGATGCTGATGCTGATGATAATGATGCTGATGCTGATGATGCTGATGCTGATGCT